ACTGTTAGTTTTCATATGACAAAATCCTTAAATCCATATTCATGTTCAGGCACACCAATATTCATGAGAATGCTATTAACATCTCTTAGACTTTCATTTAAAAAAAACATTAATGTGCAACTCTTATTTTAATCACAAATACTGTATACTGGCATGTGCTAATAGAGGATGCTAGAATATGAGAGTATCATTTTACAGAAAGCATGGAAAATGGATTAGATAATAAGATCTCCTTATCTCATTTAGTGGCTGAAATAACTTAATTTCATGAAAACCAAATTTGAAGTACATAATATATTCCCTGCAGGAACTTTATTCCCTCCAGAGCTTTACAATTAGCAATGAAATAAATTTCACCATGAAGCACCTTTGCAGTAAGTAGTATTCAAGTTAAGGCACAAAATGTTAAGAGACTTATCAAAACTCTAATGTATATACTTTCCCTTTCATAAGATATCTCATAAACATCTATGCTAATGATGGCAGGCAGTATGTCTGGTGCCATTTGCAGAACTGTATCTCAAAGTCGTATGACTCCAGATGCAGACAATTGCTCTAGAAACAAAATATTGCTTGAGTTACAGGACATTACCAGATTCTTTCCAGGCACAGTAAGTTCATTACATATGGTAAGTGTATTTCAAAACTAATGCATTTTCAACCATTCTATCTTTCACTCTTGCATTAAGCTTTATTTTTACTGTTGATACCCCCTTCCCATCAGGTTCTCTTGCTGTTGAGGCTATGGATATGGATAATAACCAACTTCTTTGCATTAAGTTCTCAAGACCCAACATGCAAAAAAGCACCTTCCAATTAATCACTTCAGATTCATGTCATTTGGCTTTAAAATTTTGTCGTTATCCCAAATCCCAATCCCAAAGATGCTAGAGTATTTATACTCAAAACCACATGTTTTGCAGCGTAAGTGCTGTACCGTACTGGTCCCACTGAAGGTATTATGGTCCTACTTAATTCAGTGGCAAGCTTCCCATTTCAGTGTATGAGAACTGGCCAGCTGATGATTACCAGTGGGATAAAAAGTATGTCTTTGTCTCTTTTCTGTTCAGACTAGCACAGGACAGGAGTGCTTTGCCAATAGAAAAGTCTGTCTAAGGTCAACAGTTCTGTTGCCGAAAGGTCTAACACATCAGCCCGTAAGAAAATACTGTTGAAAACTGCTTTGAGAAGCAAGTCATTCTGTACATAGCTGAGGACTGCACTATAGTCTTGTTTAGACTTTACAGAGTCTAAACCTAAATTGTAATATATAGCTTTTGCTTCTAACTGTAAAAGAATACTAGAGTAAATATACAGACTGATTAATACACCATTAATAGTTACAATAGCAGTCCAAAACGGGGCTGCTTTCTTTCTTTCCGAACACACACACACACACACACAAAAGAAAAAATACAAGATGTTTCTTGGGTAGTTCATTTAGTTTCACTAAGGAATACCAGTTAATGTTGCAGGCCATTCTCAATCTGAACTGTTAAAATATTTTCCTTTACCAGATCAACACTCTTCCTACAGTAAAGATCTTCAAGAAATGGAAAACCTAAAGGACTTTTAGCACACAGCGGGGTGGCGGGAGGGCAGGTAGAAGAAAAGATTATGTTTGTATGAAATTCATTCATTCAAAACAGGAGAAACACCTGAGAAAAGAAAACATAAGCAGAAGAAAACTGAAACAGTGTGGTTGAAGGTTAAGGTATACAGAAATAAAGTATAGATCACTAGATGCAAAAGGCGTCTATGATTTTGTATTTTTTTATGAAAAGTTAATTATAAAGTTACATGAAGAACCAGTTGAACTACCCCTGAAATAGCTTATCTTCTTTAATCTGAATATACTGACTACTGAGATAATGGTATGTTCCAGAAACACCAAAAGCTTCATATACCACTGTCATGTTTTTTCTTTTAATAAGTTTATTGTTTTCAAGTAGCAAGAAATAGATTTTATTCTGCAATCACTCCAACTTGTGCGCAAAGAACCAAAAATGCGATACATACAATTAATAAACCTTATTAAGCTACCATCACATTCAGCATCATCATTAGAACTATGCTTTTTATGAGGGTCACAGGTTTTGCAACAATAAGCAATAGATTACTACAAAAAAGCTTACAAAAGCGGTATTCAGAAGCTTTCAAATGTCTGGATGACGTTTAGCTGAGTTTGAAACTCTTTAGGTAAGAAACCTCACATTCTTGCCTGCTTTTTCCAGCCCCCCCCCATTTTACAGAAATACCTCTTTGTGAAAACACACTTTCCTGATTGCTTATTTGCTTATTGCTTTTAACAAGGCAGTGACAAGATATGAAGCCTTGTAAAAAATGTTCAATAAAACCACATGGAACTCGAGACAATCTCCTGAACAGAGACAAGCCAGATAACTCAGATTCCCAGAAACATCTGCTGTCATCGACTAAAAAAATTTTATTGACCTCGAACTGACTTATGATTTTGCATTGAAGAAACCATAAAATGGGTAAAGTGAAAGGAAAACCAAAAGCAACTAACTTAGACTGCTTGCAACAAGAAGAACATTGCTTTACAAGCATTTCTCACTGCTACAGCTGGACTGTGATGGAACAGGGACCTGAAACTCGAGTTTTGCAAAGCACTGAACTACATGCTTTCAGGAATGGCTGCTGGGTTGTTTTCCTTGTTGCTACTTCACCATAAGGATGAGTTTAAGATCTTTTTATTTATTTTTAAAATTCAAGACTTCTGCTAATTAACATAAATACAGACAAACTAGATCTGAGTTTTCAAGTGTCCCAGCTCTACCGGTGTTATGTGCTCTCTGAAAAATGTGCATGTTCAAACTTCAAATGTTTTATCAATGAGAAATTTGTGACCACCAATATGCCAAATAAGAACCACCCTATTACCATTTCACTTGTCTAAGAATTTGCCTCATAAACCTTTCTCTAGTTTCAGTTTTCTGACCTGTTAGAAGAACTTAGAAGAACATGTTCACTCCTGTCCTGGCACAACTCACCTGCCTCAATAAACCAGGTTTATGCGTAATAGTGTAAGCAGAGAGGCTGGACTCCTAGCTGGAACTACAGCCTCAAGAATTCCTAACAGGGGAGAGAGCTGGCAAATTTAGCAGACTAAATCCATACCAGCAGCTTGAAAATGAAACATATGAAATGGATATTTAAAAAAAAAAAAAAAAAAAAAAAAAAAAAAAAAAAAAAAAGAAAGAAAAGATGATAGTCAAGAGCTCAGGGGATAAGGAGTAGCATGGGAAAGAAAAACTTTGCCACTTTCCCATACATGCCAACAGTCTGGTTATTTTTAAGCAAAAAATGTTACTCTTTTTCTGTCCTGCCCATTCCAAAAATGGTCAAGTGGCTCAGGACATTTTAACACAGTTAAGGGAATTCTTCTGCCAGCTGTTTTCTGATGCTGGTATGTAAATCTGACAGAAAAATTACATTCAGCTCCATGATTTTATGTATTAGTAGCGTGTCTGTTTTCACTGGCCTGCCAAGTAAGCTGCATTCTCACCCATTTTCTACCGAATGTACAAGTATCTCTGGAAGCTTTCTAAATAGAATTATTGTTTGATTCCGTCATCAAACAAGTTAGTGTTGATGGACATTATACAAACTGTTCACAAGAAAAAAGGAATGCTAGTGTATATAGGTGTATATAATGTACCCAAAATACATTTGGATGAAACCAGGACAAATTAGAACTCATAAGATCACCCTACAAGAGGTCCAGAACATTCACTTGGTTTTCTTGGACTGTGGGTAGCTTGTATTATTTTTTCACTTTTGAAGAGGCACTTTTTTTGTAAAATGATGGAGCTCACATTACACTTCAGGCTGTTACCCATAATAAACTCCCATTTACACACAAACGTTTCTGTAAAACTAGTTACAGCTCCAGCAGGAATTAATGAGAAGAAAAAAAGGGAGAAGCAGTTCAATACTGAGCACTTTCCTTTCTTGTACTTGAGCGGTAGCTGGGATGGTTACCAGCAGGAAGTGAGATTAAGCAGCTTTCAAACAAGAGTACTGGGATTTGAAACTTTCAGTACAGCTAGACAGTGCTAGTAATAATTACATCAATCTAGCAAGAAAGGCCTTGTGTAGCTCCATTTTTATTATTTGCTATGGTAATTTTAAAGACAGATATAAAGATGGACTGACAGGTGAAGAGAAATTAAAGGGCGAGGGGCAGGTCTTCAAAATCTTAACCTCCTCTTCTCTCTCCAGTCATCTCAGTAGAACTGGCTCCAAAGCAGTAGCACAAATGTAGGCAGACTAAGTCCTTCCTAACCTGGGAATATGAGAGGTTGCAACCTCTCATGAGGGAATGGCACAGTTCACAAATGCTCACCAGACAGACGTAGATCTGCAGAAATTCCACATAATCTCTAATTTGCAGCGCTCTAGACAGATCTAGAAATATACCACAGATGTTAATAGAAATATTCCAGGATCCTCTATGTTTTTGAATTAAGGCTCGGCTTCAGAATAAACAATTGTACAAATGACCTTGCATTCTGCAGATACCACCTCAGTATCATATTATCTCAATTCAATTTTTATATACTTTCACTTTAAAAGAACTGAAATTTTTAGGCAATCAGAAGATGCCTTTTTCAAGACACTTTACATAACAGATCATGCCACTTGGCTGGATTCTTGATCACTCAGAGAAAGTGAACGATGCGGGAAGCGTAACCACCACAGTGGAACCAACTAATAGTAAACAACAAAGCCAAGTCAGATGGACAGGGAAATGGATGGTAACAGGTCTACAGTGTTTGTCATGCAAAATTAAGCCAGAATTACTGCCACTTCGTTCTGATCAAAATGCCTACTTAATGATTTTCTTTCTTCCTCCTCTCTTCTCCTTTCTTGCTCCTGTCATCTATTTCACACTGTTTAGAAGGCTTTTCCCGGCATAGCCTCCACCCATTGCACTAGCACACAAAGAATGCTTTATTCTCTGAGAAGCAACTTACCCAAATAGTTGTTGCTCTTTGACATCTCAGTAATGTTGATTTTAGTAGCTCCTTCAGGAATTTCCACTATCTTGTGGTAGCCAAGATTTGTTAGCGTGTGTTTGAAAACTCCAGACACAACCTTGCAAGCAGTGTTGTCCCCTCCACATATTCCACACTTGTCAATCACCTTGTCTGAACCCAGATAGTCGTCACAGCCAATGCTCTGCAAAATAAAATAAGATTACTTTTTCCAAGATCTTACAACTTCTTCGGACAAAACAACTGACTTTGGACAAAACAACTGAGGACCGTATGACTTTCAGAGAACTTTCAAACCTGAACAGATTTTGTAAATTAGCATTTCAACAATTTCCTCCCTTGTTCTGTATGCAACAAGACAATAAAAAACGAGGGTTCACAGACATATTTCAAGTTAGCCAATAGTTTTTTACAGCCTGATACCAAAAATACAAGAACACACTAAAGAACACTAATGCATCAACCATTGCTGATCACAGCCTCCTCAGCTGAAAGAAAAGAATTTCTTAACAACATAGTTCCTGGAGCTGCTAGTCAGAAAACAAGTGAAGAGCTATGACTTTGTTATGATCCAATATGGGCTTTTGATGAAAGCAGAACTACTTTATATACCAAGTGTCATCTTGATCTCCTCTAAAATTGAGCACTGAGCCTATTCTCACAAAAAGGTTTCGAAAGTCTTTACACTGCATCTAGACAGTTATCGAAGTGATCATCCTGCTCACCGCGTAGAAAATCTTCAACCCACTCAGTAACACCCACTTGGACAGGAATTTTTTTTTAAAATTAAGTCATTTAAAATAATGTAAATTAAAGGGCAGAGAAAAATGTTAAAAGATTTCACACAAACCAGAAAAAAAAACTTTCAAACTTATGGCACTTTAAAAGCACACATGCTGTAGAGACTATATATTCCTTTACAGAAATGTTTCTGTTCAGTTATCTTGCTGTTTTGTATTTAAAGCCTTCAAATAACATCTATGATGAACACTTATAATCTACCTAAATAATTAACTGGCACATGCAAAATAGGACCTCTCATTCTCACTCAGATAAGAATGAAATGTTACATGAACCAGTAGAACAGAAGCCTATCACATACTTTATGAAATGTAGCCATTTGATAAGAAAACATTCACAATAAATGACAGAGTATTGTTCTATTATTTCAAATTGTCAAAAATACTTGCATATTCTTGTAAAATTGTTGATTAAAAAATGGTTAATTACTCTTCTATGGTCTTTCCTGGAAGCAAACAGCCAAGTAAGAAGGGAAAGAAGTGGAATTTTTTGACACCATCAACTTAAAACATCGGGAGTATCTTGAGCCTTGGCATCACTGTATTTCTTTCCTAATCCCAATAATAACGCTTGGCCCTAGCTGCAAAAAATGTTCTAAACTTCAAGCCAGAACCTGCTTAGTTCCAATATAAATACTTAACACCCAACATCTTCTTTATGACTATCCAAGAAACACAGATAAAACCATCTAACTCATCACTGCCAGGATCATATGGAGCTTGACAATGATACCTGTTTGTAGCCATGAAGAAAGGGAATGAAGAAGATTCCCAAGTGCTCTGTGCTTCACAGTGGGATAACCTGATAACTAAAAATGTGTTCCATCCTATTGAATCTAGTGTGAGCAGACTGTTGCATGATTTCAAAGGGATTGTGGGTTCAAATAGAAACACTTGGTCTAACATCTTGCATTTGCATTGCTTGGTGGAAATCTTAAAATCATGTATGAGTTCATTTTTTGTGCTTTGCCTCAAAATGCATTTTACTGCTAACAGAGTAATGCATTTGCTTGAACGTATGAATTACAAGTGCTACCATACCAAATCAAACAGTATGATCTGGCACTACAGGTGGGAACAAAGGTGGGGACTAGGAGAAGGGAGAGCTGGGAGAACTGAACACTGTAGGAGAAGATCAGGTTCAAGACCATCTAAGGAACATGAATGTGCACAAGTCCATGGAACAGGATGAGATGACTCTGTGGGTCCTGAGGGAACTGTCAGATGAAGTGCCTAAGGCATTATCTATCATATTGGAGAAGTCATAGCAGTCCAGTGAAGTTCCCCTGACTGGAAAAGGGGAATCATAACCCCTATTTTTAAAAAGGGAAAAAAAGAAGACCTGGGTAACTACAGGCCAGTCAGTCTCACCTCTGTGCGTGGCAAGATCACGGAGCAAATCCTCCTGGAAGCTATGCTAGGGCAAATAGAATATAAAAGGATTGGCGACAACCAACATGGCTTCACTAAGGGCAAATCGTGTCTGACAAACTTGGTGGCCTTCTATGATGAGGTTAGAGCACTGGTGGATAAGGAAAGAGCAACTGACGTCATCTACCTGGACTTGTGCAAACCATTTGACACTGTCCTGCACGACATCCTTGTCTCTAAACTGGAGAGATGTGGATTTGACAGATGGAGCACTCAGTGGATAAGGAATTGGCTGGGTGGTCACACTCAAGGAGTCACAGTCAACAGCTCAATGTCCAAGTGGAGAGCGGTGACAAGTGGCATCCTCAGGGGTTGGGGTTGGGACCAGTGCTGTTTAACATCTTTGTTGGGGACATGGACAGTGGGATTGAGGCACCCTCAGCAAGTTCACCAACAACACTGAGCTGTGGTGGGGTCACACGCTGGAGGGAAGGGATGTGCCATCCAGAGGGACCTGGACAGGCTGGAGAGGTGGGACCGTGCAAACCTCCTGAAGGTCAACAAGGCCAAGTGAAAGGTCCTGCCCATGGGTCAGGGCAATCCCAAGCACAAATACAGGCTGGGTGAGGAGTGGATTGAGAGCAGCCCTGCCAAGAAGGACTTGGGATGGAAAACACGAGCTAGAAATGTGGCACAGATGTTTGACGATTAGTCAAATGTTGACTGACATAAAAAGCAGCTGTCAATCTTTGGCTGTACTATTTGGAATTATTCCCATATAGGGTAAAAGGAGCTTGTGTCACAAACAGTGCCTGTAATGTTTAAATGCTCTTTCACAGAAATGACTGAGAAAGGTACAACGAATGAATTATTGAAGGCAAGGACCCAATAATCTGAAACCAACAACAGACAAAGAAAAAGCCACAGAACCACAAGTATATAAATGAGATAAAAATAATAAATAACACAAGATAATAAATACAATAAATAAGATATTAATAAATTATACATATTATGCAGAGTGCACTCATATATGCATTTTATATACTAAAAGAATAGGTACTTAGCAACAAATTACAATTTTATAAAGAAAAATTAAAAATCTTTACTGTGGTGTCTACTGAGGCTTCCATGGAAATGATGGTGCTTCAAAGGTGAATATTCCTATTGCAATACTGCAGAGGTTTCCGAAGAAGAGATCAGTTATAACTAATACATTCTAGAAAGCCTTGACATTTGCTTAATACAGTTTAGGCAAGCATATAAAAATGACCATGTACTCTCTAATATTTCCAGATCCAGCAAGGATACATCAAGCCTGTGTCCCACGTGTTCTATGGGAATCTCCCTTTCTAACTGTATAAAGCACAGATTTCTAGCCCTGACAGGTCATGACATACTGCATCAGAGACCTGTTACTGGTCCAAGACTCAATACTCAGGATGTCCTGGGCCTTGCACCAGAGTAATTTTGGGAAGATGAAAGAAACACCTTTCTGGCAAGTTGATTCTGTTTTCTTTCTGCTTTTAAACAGCTGCTTGAAGCTGTACAGAGATCTGGAATGGTAGTCATCCTTGTAGAAATAGGCTTGTAAACAGAATACACCCAAATTAACCAAAAAGTAGAATCCATGCAACTGTACTGAACAGATAATTCAGCATTTTTACCTTTTTTTCTTCTGACTATTAATTTAAGAAGTTCCACCTTGCTACTTGGCTAATGTACATTCATATAAAAACATGAATTGACTTTTAACTTCTCTCAGGATGTGGCATTCACTACATTTAAGCACATGTATACACAGCAAACAAATCCCTTTATCACACTGCCTAATACACTGTGATACATCAGCAAGAAAAAATTATGTTAAGGAAAGAAGTGATACAAACTGCAAGGCAGTGTGAGTGTCCTTTCCAATATTTGCTGTGGGAACATGAGTAAATCTTAACTATGTCAATAGTTATAAAGATCAGAAGTCTGGCTAGATAAGCAGATAGGTCTGAAATCTCAGACAGTCTCCTTCTACAACCCTGGAAGGTTGAGACATAAAGTGGGTGCCAAATACATTAACACCAACTTAACAGCCCAGTACACTCTCACAATGGTGAAAGGTGGCCTCAGTCGGTTGTTTTTCATCATGTAGTAGATGTTTACAGAATCCAAAAGCAGGTGTCACTTTTCAAGTCCCATCACACATAACATTAATACTACGAATACAGAAATACTAGGATTGTGAATATGAGATGAATGAGAAGACAAAGGTAAATACATTCTGCCCACCAAAAGGATTTCGGACAGCACTACTGCAAGCTGTTCCTTGGCTATCGATATGATGAGGTCTATAACACATCTGTCCCTCAAAACATTTTCTTGCAAAGTGTTGTTTCTTAGAAGAGGTACTTTTGACTTGCACTATCTGTACATCTTCTGCATTGCTCAACTCTTTTTTGCAATGTGGTTTAAGAACTCTTTTAAGTTACAAGTTAGCATGAAAGACACTGTTCAAGAATTACAGCCAACTATACGCCAGAAATAATTTAAATAAAAACCCTTGAGAGAAACAAGGGACAATCTGGATGAAGTATTCAGTGGTGGACTTAATAGGGATTTAGGACTATGTATACAATAGAACGGGGCTGGTGCCAGGCATCTGAAAACATGAAGTGCTGATCCTTGAAATGGAAAACAGATGTCACAATTTCAGTACTAAATGATTCTATCAAAAATCGTAATCTCTGTGGTAGAGTGGCATAAATAATACAACACGACAATAACTTGCTTCCATTGCATTGTATTATCAGGTAGAAAAGCCACAGTTATGAGTTGTAGTATATTAATACTATTAACTTCAAAAATCAGTCATATTGACAGGTAGTCAGCTAAAAGTTGTAATATGTAAGTAATTTGGAGTCCGGGCATCCATGGGGCCAGAAGGCAGATGAATAGAATGTTTACTAGAAGTCATACCTAAGTATAAGTACAAAATTCTAGGAAAAGGGTTAGGGACAGTTAT